GCAAATAATGAATAGTGTTTTGAAAAATCATGAAGTAAAATCAGGTATTCCACAGTACTTTGTAAAGGATGGCATTGAAATTCATGATCAAAATGAAATTGCAAATGGATTCAATCATTATTTTGTGAATGTTGGCCCAAGTTTTGCAGCTAAAATACCAAAAGTAGATAGAAATGTGAATCACATCTGTTACAGGTTGTGTATTTTTCTATATGAAACCAACAAAGAAGAAATAACAAATATTGTTAAAAATCTTGCAGACAAGAGATCAAAAGACTGGGTTGACATGGACATGATGTTTGTAAAAGACAATGAATTATGTGATTGAACTGTTTACATACATCTGTAATTTATCATTTTCAACTGGTACATTTCCTGACAATAAAAAAACAGCCAAGGTAATTCCTCTTTTTAAAAATGGTGAAAAACGTGTGCTTAACAACTAGACCAATATCCTTGTTACCACATTTTTCAAAGATTTTAGAGAAATTATTTGTGATAAGATTTGACAAATTCATTGATAAGCAGAATATATTAACAGTCAGTATGGGTTTTGACCAAAAAATTCTACGTCAATGGCTCTCATTYATTTAATAGAACATATAACAACTGCTGTTGACCAAAAACAGTACTGTGTTAGTATTTTTGTTGATTTAAAAAAAGCGTTTGACACTATTAACCACAGTATTCTTTTTGAAAAGCTAAATAAATATGGTGTTAGAGGACCTGCTTTACATTGGGTATCTAGTTTTTTGGAAGATAGAAAACAATTTGTACAAATAAATAATGTAAGATCTGAGTTTTGTAACATCTCATGTGGAGTGCCGCAGGGTTCCATTCTCGGACCTGTTTGTTTTGTATCTGAATGATTTGGTCAACGTGTCAGGACTTTTTGGGTGTGTTCTATTTGCTGTTGATACAACATTCTTTTGTTCCGGTAAAGATATAGAACAAATGCTGGAGATGGTACAGACAGAATTTGTGAAAATACAAAGTGTGTTTCAACTAAACAAATTATCATTAAACTTGGACAAAACAAATTACATGATTTTCAGTAACAGTAAGAGAACTGTAAATGTTTCATTTAAAATTGATGATGTTGAAACCTGTAGAGTCAGTGAAGGGAAGTTTCTGGGTGTCATCAATGATGAAAAACTGACATGGAGACCTCATATAAATAGTTTAAGAACAAAAATAGCCAAATCTATTTGAGTCCTATAAGGTAAGAGAATTGTTCAATTATGTTGTATAATGCTATAACTGTTCCACATTTAATTTACTATATTGAAGTCTGGGGTAAAGCTTGCAAAACTATCACAAAGCCTATTTTTATTTTACAGAAAAGAGCTATAAGAATTATTACTGAAAAGACAGTACAGCCATCCATAGAATATATTGTTTTATGAATTTAAATTATTGAAATTCTATTATTTGGTCGATTATAATATTTTGCTGTTACAGTTTTTATTGACTGGTTTGACGCAGCCGTCAACTCAAAAACCACAATTTCAAAACAGTTAAAGCAGAGGCCTAGACATTGACACAGTGGTCAAAATGACACATTTTGTTTGCAAAAGGCAACAACTCTCAAAACATTTAAAATGTGGAACAAAAGCAAACTTTTGCCTCCAAACAACTCATCTTTGACACAGTGCATGAGCACCTCCCAAACAGTCAGTACACAATAGGCAACAAAATACAAAATACAGCAGTCATGTGTGAATCAGTGCATCATTGCGTGCCACTGTAGCCTATGACTGTACGTAGCTGACATGCCAGTGCTGTTTGTAGTCAAATTTACCCTCTTGCAAAAATGCATCCAGAAGCAGATACGCTTTGATGCAAATTTTATTGATTACATTTTTTTCAGACTGTGCCGGACAAATGAAGTATAGTTTTTACTGATTGCTTTGATCTGTTTGAAGAAACTCATCACTTTCTCAAAAACAATCAATAAAAACTGTATTCCAACTGAGGACACATGGAAATAAAAAAAACCCTTTACGGTGTGCGAAATTAGGTAAATAAAAACAGTCTTTTACAGTAAAGATCAAAAATCTATAGTAGGCCTTTAGCTTAGACCAGTGTTTCCCAAAGTTGGGGTCGGGACCCAAAGTGGGGTCCCGAAAAATCAAGGTGGGGTCCTGAAAAGATTTTCTGAATTAATTACATGTTTGCCTTAGTTGTTACAAAGGAGTGAGTTGTTACAAAGGA